CTAGAGAGAAAGAAACAAATAATGTAGAAATTAGAAAAGTGAAATTAGTTTTTCCAAAGTAAACTTATTTAAAACTAACACAGTTATTAAATTAAAGCCTTTTTTGCAAATTGCCTTTATTCTGGGAATCTTTAATATCTTCCATTTAGCAAATCCTTATCCGTAAGGGCCTGCCAATAACCTCTGCATAAACATCCAAGCATCCACATTCCTAAACTTTATGACAGTTAAAAAGCAATTTTATGAATATTTATGAAGGCTGTAAATTATTAAAATAAATATAGATATTTACATGGTAGAACAACATCTTCATTTAATGGATGTGGAAAAAATGTTAATATGTGAAACATTTTAAAGATGAAATGGTTTGGCCTTCAGGGCTTTTGTTACTCTATTAAAAGTTAATTTAGGACAAAAATGATGGCTTTTTCGTGAATTGCAACCCCTAAAGATTAAATCATGATTAAGACTCACAACGTTTTTCAAAAAATGAATCTGTTAATGGTATTTCCAGAGGCTGGATATTGAAACCACTGTGTAGTTCTCTCAGAAGAAACCAGAGGAGGTTTTTTCCATGTGCTCACAGTGGTGACATAGACCAGCTTTAGAGCAGAGGAGCTGGGTGATAATGAGGTGCCTTTGTCAATCCTTCTGTCACCACACATTTGGTATACTGATACAATATGCTCTCTAAAAACACGGGGGGCAACTCAAGGTGCTCTTTCTCAAGAAGATGTTCTACATCACATGAGTGATTTGCTTAATCACTGGGAATAAACTTCATCATCTTTCCCCACGTTTATAGATTGTCCTGGTTCAACGACATCCGTGGTCTGCCCTGACCTCCTGTGACTGGCTGCTCAACCTCACCAGTGATCCCAACAACCCGAGTTCCACTGACACATGACTTTTCCTTCTAGCCAGAACGCTAGGAACAGGTCACCTTCAATCTCAAGGTGTGAGAAAATACGGATTCTACTTCTTTTTATTATGGCAGTGCAGAAGTTGTGCTTCACTTCTGTTCTACATTTGTCTCATTTCAGCTCCCTCCTTAAGAAAGTTTTTCCTCCTCCTTAATCCAGTCCCCTCTTAATTCAGAAACAATCCTGCTCTTACACATTGTCTCACACCAAGTCACAAGATCCCTCTGGGAGTTGTCACAGCAGTTTAAATTTTTTCCTTCTGTCAGTTTTTCAGCACTGTGAATTGTTCTGGCTAATGAGACCAAAATGACTAGACCATGGGTATGCCAAGTGAACGTGTCACATGAGGACTCCCTGTGTGCTTCCCTGCTCAGACCGCTGGCTCGATTCACGTTCCCACAGGAAATTGTCCAAATTGTCCCTCCAGGTGCTGGGAGGAGTAAATTCCTAAACGTTTCAGTTGCATTTGAAAATGATTCTGCCTTTGCCACACTAAAACTGCTCCAGCCCTTTGAAGCATTTCTACCATTCTTTTCTTCCACATTTTATATTAACTTTATAAAAGAGTCTTGCTCCGAAACTGATCTTAGTGGTGCCTGAACAATGCTAAAACTCCTTTCCCAAACCTCTGCTCCACTTCTTATCACTGCAATGTAAACTATTTGGTTTGTTGTTTTGGTTTTTTGTGGGTTCCTTTCCCCCCCGCTAGAGTCACTGCTTTTGTTGATACTCTGATATCAAGGTAGGGTCCATGTTATTTCTCTTTATAGCTGTAACTTATGATGTGGTTGTAGTGACATATTGTTTGTTTGAAAAGATTTAAGGTTTAAAGGATTGAGACTGGCTCTGCCAATGCTCTGCCCATGTGCCCATGGTTGAGACTGCTGCTCCTCTTGCCCTGAACAGACACTAAGTTCTGTTTCAGTGGAACAGAAATACAACAGTCCCAATGAAATCTGGAAATCATATCCAATTACAAAAATTACCCCAGGTCAGACTTCTAAAAATCTTGTCCTCACAAAGAAGCTTAAATTTATGAACCTTACGAAACTTAAACAGAATTACTCATGTTAAAGACTAAACTGCATATTCTGACAGCACATTAAATTCAGGTTTTTCTGCATACTCCAAATTCCCTGTATATTCCATTATAATAGCCTAAGATGGTCTCCATCTGAAAGACAAAGTAGAAGCTCCAAATTATTTTCAATCTTAATCCTTCCCCAAATTTTGTACCCTATCCAATCTCCATATACTAAACCTCTACAGCAAAAACATTGTCATTAATACCATTATTTTTCCAAATATTCAAATTTCCATCACTTGGGCTTATGTCTATAAATTATCCCCTTGCACACGAAGCTCTTTTCTACCAGCATATCCTTTCTGTTAATGTGATATAAAGACTAAAGAAATGTTGTTAAGTTTTCATGGTGATTTTTCTGCCAGCAGCAGTTTATTATTTCTTTCAGGTCTTTTTCAATGGACTCAGTATGGAGAGAACAAACAGTAGTCAAGATAAAAAAAAAAAAAGTAAATTAAATACACAAAAGGGGGAAATAGAAAAAAACACATAAAGAACAGCAGTTGTTGATGGCAGTAAAAAGAGACAAAGAGAGAATAAGTATACCCACGCAAGGGAAAATGCAAGCTGAAAAATAGAGACATGATTAGAAACTCTGTTATGAAGATTAAACCTTGGTGCAGGGTCTATAAAAATAAAACCCAAATCCAGAGCGAGATATTTGTGTATTATGAAGTAGTAATAATGAGAAATTAAAGAACATTAAAACATGAAAAATACAAGTTAAATACAGAAATTAGAAAGAAAAGCAGTAAATATATACGTATATATAGCCACAGCTCTCCTATGAACTAGTGTTCTGTTTTAATGTGATGTAAAACCAAGCACATGGAAGACAGAGATAAGGAAAATATAGGGAGAGGAAAGTATCTGCTGAAACAGAACTGTGAGACTCAATAAGTGCAGAAACATAAACATCAGGGGGGAGAAAAGATACAAGAAGTGGATTTAGTGGTGAGATACTGGGCCTGTTTAAACCAGCAGGACTTGCTGTTTAAGGCCATCTTTCACTCCAAATATTCCTGATGAAAGGAGAATATATTTCTGATCATATTTCTACATATTCTCTTATGACCAAAGAAAAACTTACAATTATTTCACTGCCAAAGATAGACAACTTATATTCTAAAAAAGGTTATTTACAGCCTCAAAAAAAAGGGGGGAGGGGGCAAACTTCCTACCTGCATGAGGAGAACACAGAAAGTAGGTTTGGGGAGTGTATTTTTAGCTCAGATCCTGAGTGTGTATCCGAAGTCAGCCTCCTGACCACACCACACTTTGGTTCACGGTGTATAACACACTCTGGACGTGCAAAATGGATTCTTCTGGAGCAGCAGATGAGCACCAGAAATGCAGCTGATGCACCTCAGCCAGCAAATAGCGCATATTTGGGGACCAGGCTACAGCCAACCCATGCAAAAAGCTCCTGAGATGTGCCTTGTTCTCAGCACCACTTGCTTTCCCCTCCTCCTTCAGGCTGTACAGTTTCCTAATTCAGACATAGTGCGTCCTCACAGGAACAAAAACTGGTAAAAAAAATCCATCTCAAGAGACAGTGCTGTTACAGTAAACTTTACATCTTTACCAAATTCCTACTTTATGAGCCCTGATTGCTATTTCATTGTTTTTGTCAGCGGTGAAATGCAGGATCAGATCTATTGGTGCAAACGATGCGCAGCAGCCGAGTTCCAGCAATGACAACTGACCTTTCACGGGCGTAATTAAATTGCATCTAAATAATTTAAATAAACAGCTGAAGCTACTCAGTTGAAAATGGCATTTTTATTGAGACAAATCTTATTCCTATAGAAAAAACAGTAAGCAGTTGTTTTCTGAACCTGTGTTGTAGTGCCAACTGTACTTTCTATGGCCAACAGGGCAGATCCTGATTCTCTTAATTGCAAGATCTGGAATCACTGCTCTTTTAAAATTGCATTTGTTAATTTGGTAATGAATTGTTTAAGTATTTATCGGTCCAGTGTATTTTCTGAAAGTGAAACCAGCATTTTTGCTTATAAAATATTTGCAGCAGAAGGCAGTTACTGGGCATTTAGAGTTTGAATGTGGTTTATATGTTGAGTCTATTATGTTTAATGTGCAAATGGATTAGTGAGCTCCTGCTCTGTGCTCTCTGCCAGCACTGGAGTTGGAGGAGAAGATGGACACACATACCCACGTGCAGCCCTCCCCACACATAATCTCAACCAAAGAAGGGGAAAGGAGGGAGTGGAAAGAAGAACATGGTGGCAAAGGCAAATTCTCCACACAGCAAGGCTGCATAATGCCACAGTGAAACCAGGTTACAATGAACACTAGTGCCAGTCCTCCCACAGTGTATGCTATTGGCGATTACCTCGCAATCCGAGTGCTGGCAGCAGCACATCCAAGTGCTGGATGTTGGACACAGCCCAGCAGGGCTGGAAAGACCCACAGAAGCCTGAGCTCAGGTGAGCATAGACTGTGCTCTGCCTTCTCCCACAGTATGCTCAAACTACAGCCACCAAAGCAAGTACTACGTGAAATTATGCAGAAAGAAAAGATTTCATTACATTTTTCTACGCACATTTTTAGGACACACAAATCCCAGCTATTCCTGATATCAGTTGCCATTTTTTTGTTCCCTCATGCTTTATTATTTCTTTCAGGGATTTCTTGATTTGCCAAAAGGGTTACAGAACATCCAGGAAAAATATGGTAGGCTACTGAGGCACTGCAAGATATGCAGCAAAATAAATAACTGCAACACATAAAAGGCACTGCAGAGCGAAGTGATAAGTATTAAGGAAGGATGTGAATGCCAGTAAGTCCTGACTTACTGGGATAGAACGGGAAAGTCTTTGTTTCAGTATTTTGGAACTGAAAAAAACCCCACCAAAACAAACAAAAACAAAACAAACAAACAAACAAAAACAAACAAAAACCCAAAACACAAAACACAAAAAGCCCCAAACAAATGAGTAATTCAGCTAATATGTAACTAGTTTCTGACTAACCTTGTAAAGCAAAGGTGATTGTCCGAGTTTCAAAAGTGCAATTTTTTTGGTCACGTTTGTAATGGCTTGAACGCGGATCAGGTCTTGCATGGTCCCGTACTGCACATCAACAAGCTCTGCCTGCAAAGAGAAGACAAAGTTCAGGCTGTACCTACAACCACACATCACTGAGGGTGCTCCTTGCACAGAAACAAAGTTGTTTGCTTAAGTACAAGCACAGGAGCAGAGTCCTGCAACTGCCCTACCCTGACTTCTCATCAGCAATACCTGTAATAGCAAAGAACTTGAGAGTGCAGTCTGACAGGTAATTTTATGCAGTTTTCTCTCACAGTCCATCAGCTGTGATAAAATCCCTTCTTTCTTTTTCTGGTGGTCATAAGTGATGCTGATTCTGGTGAGCATTTGCCCTCATTAGCTACAGGAATCTATTTAAAATTTTGTAAGTCACTTCTGTTTATTTTCTTAGAAGGAATCAGTCCTGTAAAGCATTTCAGGAAATGAGTGATTATGTTGGTCACTGATGAAAATACACAGATAACACAAACTCCACCAAACATACACAATTTTGTGTGGTCTCATATGATTCCCGAGCAGCCTTCATCAGCTATTGAAGTATTTTCTTATAATCCATCAGTTATCCAAGCATTAATCAGATAACAATACTAAAAGTGTAAACTTTGGTATTAACACATATTTTCAAATTAATCTTTAGAGTTACTTCCAAATGAAATTGTTTAGAGCATGGAGATCTTCAGCTCTTCAGTTAGGACACTGCAAGAAAATATAATAATGTTCTAAGTTATTATTAAATGTCAAGCAGTAGCAGGGATGGAAAAATATTTCAAGACGTGTTTTCAAGGATTTTTTAAAATACATGTAATTCAAGAACAACCAAGGGCATTTTTCTCACACACACTTATAGCAATAAATTTTGGTGAAGACAAAGTAGGAGGATAATCAGTCTTGTACATTACTATTTTAGAGTGTTATGAAGCTCTCGGGACAGTGTTGAGGACATTCTGGGACCTCTAAATCCCTCCACAGTGTTCATATAAAACACAAGTACAAGAAGACACGAGGATATTACATAACTTTTTAAAAATTAAAATAAGAGGAGAGGTATGAGATGGAAAAGTTTAGCTTTCAGTAGAGTTTGGTAACTTAAGTATGGATTCATTGGCAGAGGCAACAGCTCTGATTTTGGGTATCTCTACACAAACTGTTTAAATTCGAGCAACAGTTGTTCTGGATATGTAGGACGTGTGAAATTTTACTAGATTCCTGAACATGGGTATTTTAGGAAAGTATTTACCCTTATAAAACTGCATCTGAATGTTTTGTCTGTGTTTGCATCTCAACATTTAAGCTGAAACCGTACAAAAATTTTGCCAAGGTTCCTGTCTTATTAAATGTATTCTTCTAAATTTTTAAGATAACAAGCTTCCAAGTCTGTAACATGTCATCAGTCCTGTTATAAACCAAGTATTTGGAAAGGTCAGCCCAAGTTATAAGACACTTTTAAACAGCAAATATCAGACTTAACACCAAATACAGAAATTTAAGAACAGAAAAGCTTCCACTTCATACTGTTTCTTCTAAAATATATGAGGATTTTGATATCTAAAGAACTTGAAAACTATTTAATAAGAAAATTCAAATGGTGACTACAGGCTGAAATACAATATATATTTTTCCTGTATGGCCACAGTAATGAGATCCCTGCCCATCTACATTCATGTGCTGCTCCTCTGCACATCACTAGCTGCTTCTCCAGGGTGCTATCCACCGCTCTGTAAACAACAAAACTACATGTGTGAACACTTATTAATGCATTTAGCAACTGCCCTTGGATGTTCTTAGTTAATTTATGGATGCAAACTGCATCTTCAAGAGCTGCTCACTGGTCTTTCCCAGGCAACGTAAGAGCTCAACAAGAGAGAGGCAGAAGAAGAGGCCCTGCAAAAGCACAGCTCATTTTTTAATTATGTGAGAACCAAACTAGACTCCCTGCTGCCCCAAACACTCTGCAAACTATGTTCTGCGCTCCAAATGTCAAAAGTAAGCCCCAATGCCAAAGCTATTAAATACATTCATACGTTGAGAGTACATGGAAGAAGTCATTACATAATGAATGAGCAGCTGGGTATAATATAACAGAGTGACATGTGCTTTTACCACACATCTTCCACTTGAAGGATAGATATGTCAAAGCTCAATATAGACGAAGTTTTTCTTCTGCATTTGCCTGAAAACAAGAATGATGTAAACATCTTGTAACTGTCCAACTTTAGGGGTACTTGCTCACTTCTATTTCACTGTAAGTCTGAAGTAATTCTCCTCTCATCACAAATCTTTGACTTTTAATTTTAACTTTTGGGGAACCGTGGGTAAAAACTGCACATGTCTACCAAGGTAGGTTATCACATTCTGGCAACATCATGTGTAGCCAGCAGCTGGAAGTCTCCACAGTGAATCTCAGTTTTAACTTCAGCTAAAATGACCAAACAAAAATGAAATAAAATATTCTCTGTAATAAAACTACACATGGCTCATCCCAACGAGTGAAGTCAGTAACCTACTGGAGGAGTTTAGAACAAGGTCATAACATTTTGGCAATATAACTCAGAAACTAGGAGGTATGCATTAAATTTGGAGAAGAGTTTTAAAAATTACCCCTGCCCCTTCCCTTCTTCTGCACTGGAATACTTTAGCAAAATTATTAATAGAAAGCAAAATAGTTTGCACTACTTAATAGCAACAGCTCAACTCAATAACAACAGCAACACTAGCTCAGAATAGTCAGTTTTGTTTTTGTTTAATAGACTGGGACTCAACTCATTGGACATCTTACTTCTAACATAAAATAGTGAAAAAATAAGTCTTCAGAATAATGGTGAACAATTGTATTGAATCCCAAGACTGTACCTTCTCAATATTCTACTCAGTAACTGACACACCATTTATGTTGCATGAAGGCCTGTTTTAGTCACAACATTCCTAATATCTTTAAAAATGAATTAAAATTAAATTTTCTATTATTCTTTTCTTTTTTTTTTTAAGACATGCTTACAACATGACACAATCCTCATTTTACACACACCAGCAGCTTTTAAAAAGCAAAACACCCTGCCCTCAACTACCCATATTTGATAAACTGCTTTCTTGTGGAAGGATAATTCTGCTCAAAAACAAAAGAGAGCTCATCCTTTTAACAGGTGCCGAAAAAGAGCACTTGTCTACTTGGTTTAGGTATGCAACAGTAAATCCTCTTACCCTAAAACTGGGAAAGTGGTAAAGAATGAGCTGTTTTATCCATCTCAATTAGGTACTTACTCCTCAAATTGTTTCATGCTAATCTGTTTGAGAGATATGACTATTTAGGAACAAATTGTGATGTGTATTATGGAGTTCAGTAGTATTCCCCCATGCATGAAATGAAGTAGGGGCAGGTAATAAAACAAACATTTTTAGGAAAAGTAATTATTTTATGTTAGACTTATTATTAGTTTCTAAGTCCCAAGATGATGCTCAATGAGTCATAAACATTCTATCTTAAAAATTTTAATAAAATCCCCCCAAAACAGAAAAGAAGAACACTCTGAAAATGCCACAATCAAGGCAGGTACGGATTTTTTTCCTAATTTCTTCTATTTAGCTTCAAAATGAAACAGAATAAAACAGTCACAGAGAACAAAGAGTAAAATAGGTTTTGAAAAGGAAAAGCATGAATAACTGTATGGAGCAGGTGGCAGCTGGGGTCTTGGAGATACTGGATAATATTTCTTAAACTTTGCTTTCTTTGTAAATGCTGAGGCAATTAAAAAATTAAGTTAAATAGATCAAAAATAGTAACAGAAATATGTTTGTCTTATCACATTGTTATCAATCCTCTTGACTGAGGAAAGGGATTTAATAACAGCATTATGCAACTGTACCCAACACAGTGGCTAAGAGGCAAATTGTGACTGATTTGCTGGGGGCACAGACGGTAGGGCACAGTTTAAGGGAAGAACCCAAAAGAAAAACAACTAAACAAAAATAACCCCCACACAACTCAAAGCCACTACATCCAGGAAGGGATGTTTTGCACAAGCACCAAAATGCAGATGGAGTCAGAGCAGATGAGAGAGCTGCTCTTAAACTGGGGAGCTTGGGGTAGCACCACTCCTAAGTAAATACTTCTATTATTATTTCTAACATTAAGGTTAGTACTGATCAATGCCAAAGAAATCTGAAAGGTGTAAACTTTGCAGAAAAAAAAAACAACAGGAGTAGCACACAGGAATATCTGTGGTGAAAAATCTTCTCCCTCTTAATGCTACCTGTTGTTAGAGCCACAGTTCAGTAATCTCTATTTATGAATATATTTATCCAATACCAACCTGTTGACTCATATTAATGAACAGCTTCTGCACAAACTGTTTAGGAGGTCGGGACTATGGAAGGTGCAGGTAGGAAACCACTGATCAACAGTAGCACAGCCAAAATGATATTCCTGACAGTGCTGACCTACCCACCAAAAGGCTTCAGAAATGGATGACCCAAAAAAACTCCAAGTATTGAGAAAACTAAATATTAAATATGTAATTCTAGAAGTATCAACTCTCAGTTCTGCAACTGTTTGGGCTTCTTTCATCCAGGTCAATGCCCTTCATTTGTCCTTCAACACTCAGCTACTCTTTTTTTTTTTCCCCACAAAATAAAGGCAGCAGAAACATCCAATGCACAATCAATCACAATTAAACAACCTTCAACTAGTCATCCTGTCTAAAATAAAACTCCAAAATATATTTGCAAATTGCATCTGAGAAGGCAGCATTCTGCAATCAGGACATGAGGCGAACTTTAATTAAACACTTCGCTATAATTTATTTGCACAGCTCTGAAATTGAGGCTGAAGGCAGCATTCAGCAGAGCATAAAAGTAAACTCAAGTTGGTTGTAGATCAAAGCTGGACACCAATGAATGTGAAGAAAGCTGCAAATAAAAAACTAGTTGTTCTCTAAAATTAGAGAAAAGGAAGAAAGAAAAGGGGAGATAACGGAGCTGTGCCCAAGGATGCCAAATCTTTTGTTACTGTAAACTCTGTTACACCTTCTGACGGGAGCTGCTGCTCCCAT